AACACAAGCACGCTGTATTTGGGGAATCAACCGCACATAAGGCGGTGGCTGGACCGTAGTCCGGTCCATACTGAGTGCATGGAACCACTCTTCGAGCCTAACACGGCCACAAGGACTGTGCACCCCGTCCCCTCCAGCAACGACCAACTGTCTCCTGGAGCCAGTATGGACGAGGTAGCGGGTAATAGACAGGTAGGCACCTTGTCAACATGCACATCAAGCGCAGCCACACAGGGGATATCAAACAACAGCCAATCATTTGAGAGAGACAAGAAAATAACTCGATTAATGCATAAGGAAACGATGACATAGGCCTTAATGTCGGCCGGTGGCCGAGTGGTCGGCACGTTTGCTTTCCAACCATAAGGTCACCGGTTCGAATCCGCGTAGGGGTGGGCGTCCTCGCGGTATACTCAGCCCGCGCGCGACTAGTGGTGGTCGCGCGGCAGCGAAGCGCCATTACGGCGTATAAGCTGACACCTTTAATTTAATGAGCATATGTAATAAGTTGTTTACAAACGAATCCTAGATAAGTTCGCGAGATCAGAAAGTATACTTTACGGAATAACTCGAACACAAAATGCTATGGAAATCGACTACAATTGGCTTAAGCGAAGTGTGCAAGTTAATGGAATAGAGTACAGGTAGACATTTATATGAGAAAGAAAAGCATTTAGGCAAAATTGAAAACCCACCACCTGAAATAAAGAGACTTAGCATGCAAGCATGCGGTTAGTAAATCGAATTCAGCGTGCCTACAAACGCTGCGCCGGTGCTGTCTACCTTCTCTGCAGGACCCGTCGTCGTTTCTGTAGTGGTCCCGAGTGGCCTCGCTCATGGCTCACTAGGAAAGGGTGACATATATCTTAAAGTATTGAGCATCTGAAGTTGTTTACAGAAGAATGCGAGATAAGTTCACGAGGTCAGAAGGCAAACTTTACGGAAATGCCACGAACACAAAAATGTTTTCGGAAAGGAATAGAATTGGCTTAAGTGACGTGTGCAAGTTTATAGAAGAAAGTACGGGTAGACATTTATATGAGAAAGCAAAGCATTGGGACAAAATTGAAAACCCACCACCTGAAATAAACAGATTTAGCACGCAAGTAAACGGTGACATAAATCTTAAATTAGTGAGCAGATGAAATAAGTTGTTTACAAAAGAATACGTTTACAAAAGAATACGAGGTAAGTTCACGACGTCAGGAGGTTTAGTTTCCGGAAATGCTACAAACACGAAAATCTTATCGAAATAACTACAAGTGGCTTAAGCGACGTGTGCAAGTGTATAGCATAGTATAGTATAGAGTATAACTAGGCATCATCATCATCAACAGCAGTACATCAGCCATTTGAACTGATGCTTCGCTGCCATACAACCATGATCACCTATGAAATAAAGAATAAGAAGAGGGAAAGGCGGACGTACCTGAAAACCTTAATGTCTTAAGCAAACATTCAGGGTCAAGGCGCCTACACCTTGTGTAGACAACATACCGTCACAAACAGCTGGCTATCGTGCAAAGATAAGGCGGCATCGGCGAGACAGCTTCCTTGCGGCTTTCACTGCCCGCGTCATAATCAGCCATTACCCCGCAGATAACTCAGCACCAAACACACTTTAAACAGACAATCCGATTAGGAGACGGCAGCAGACGCGCCACTGGTGTCTACTACGAGCCATGTCCTGTAAAGTCTCGAGCCAAGCACAAGGTGAGTCACGTGGACTCCAACCCGGAAGGCGAGACGGACCAACGGCACCCAGTTTGGTCGTCAGTGACTTCATTTCCCGCTGCCAAGTCAACTTCTGTCCACCTCGAGCCCTGCGCCATCCTACACCTGGTAGACTGAACAAGGTTCTCCTAGGTAAGCGGTAACCAGGCATGCGTAGCACGTGCCCGAGCCAACGCAACTTATTCAGTGCTATCTGTTGTTCTAGGGAGCTAGCATGATTATCACCATCTAGTACTCGCCTACGCACATCATCGTTGCGGACACGCTGGTGCCATCCGACTCCAGCAATGCTTCGCAGACAACGATGATCAAAGACTTGAAGGCGCCTCAGATCTTCAGACCGAAGGGGGCAAGTCTCACTACCATAGAGCAGAACGGCCCTCACTGCGGCCTTGTATACACGGCCTTTCAGACGGAGGGAAACTCCCTTCTGTCGCCAAAGATGACGCAGGTTCAAGAAGGCAGCTCTGGCCTTTGCAATGCGTGAGCTCACGTCAGTTTCTATGCGTCCATCATTGCTGATGCAGCTGCCAAGATAAGTGAAATGATCAACCACCTCAAGTTCCTCGTTAGCAAGCGTCAAGGGGTCATCAAGTGGCTGGTGGTCCTGCATCAACACTTTGCACTTTGAAGGTGCGAAGTGCATACCAAATAATGGGACCACTCTGGACAGGCTATTCAGGGTTGACTGTGCCGCCTCAACATTGTCGAAAAGCAAAACGATATCGTCCGCATAATCTAGGTCAACTAACCTTTCACCAGGCAGCACTTCAACGCCTACATCATGAGATTCCGCAAGGGAACACTCCATGATAGAATCCACGACGAAAGTGAACAAAAACGGGGAAATCGGACAACCCTGACGAACGCCACTTGTAGTCGAAAAGCTATCCGATAGGGCACCGTATACCCTGACGCGGCCTGTAGTGTTCGAGTATAGAGCACGAAGGATGTTCACATATTTCGTGGAAACACCTTTTCGCGCAAGTAATTCGAACAGAATCGATCGATCGACTGAATCGAACGCACTCTTGAAGTCGAGGAACACAGCTATTGTCGGTCTGCGGTATGCGTGACGCTGCTCTAGCACCTGCCGCAAGGTAAATATATGGTCTATACAGCCACGTCCTGGGCGAAAACCGGCCTGCTCTTCCCTAATCTGAGATTCCCGTTCTGCAGTGAGGCGACGAACGATAATCGAGGCCAGTACTTTTGTCACAACTGGCGTTAGGCTAATACCTCTGTGGTTCCAACAGTCTGTGCGACTGCCCTTCTTGTATATTGCCACTATAATCGATTCGTTCCAATTAGCTGGCACACTCTCTTCCTTCCAGATACGTTCAAATAGGGAGGTCAGTGCTTTGCAGAGGACCTCATCTCCATCCTTAAATAGTGCACGTGGGAGGGAATCCGGGCCAGCGGCACGAAAACGAATGAGGGCTGTGATCGCGTTTCGGACCTCGGCCTCCGACGGAGGCTCTAAACTAACCGTCCATGGCACGTCCTGCATCACCTGAGTAGGAAGAGGTCCGGGAGCAGGGGGCCAGCTGAACTGATCTTCAAAGTGTTCAGCCCAACGAGCCATACGGCGTTCCTTATTGTGTATCAGCGCACCCGCGCTGTCCCTGATTGTCTCACTGACGCCTGGTTTTCTCGGACCAGTGGTGCGGATTAGCTGGAAGAGCCTGCGGTAATTGCCTACTGCTCCTGCCTCCTCCATTTCTTGAGCCCGACTGGTCCACCAGGCTTCCTTGTCAGCACGTAGGCTCCGCTTTAGATCACGCCTAATAGCCCGTCTGGTCACATTGTGTTCAGAACCAGCCGGGAGGTGTCTTCTAGCTTCCAACAGGTTCACCGACCTCTCGGATATCCAGTGACTGGTGCGGTGACGACTGATAGTGCCACAAGCAGATGCTCCTGCGTCGTGCATAGCGGCCGAGATCCTATTCCACTGAAGTTCAGTGTCACTAGGACAAGACAGCGAGAGTTCGCTATGCAGTGCTTCTTGATAGGCTTGCCTGACAGAGGGCTGGGACAATTTCTCCGTTGCCAATCGAAGGAGACGCTTTGTGCGCCTTCCGGTAAAGTTCATGGAGAAACGACAGCGCACCAAGGCATGATCAGAGTCGACACAAGTACTCCAGTACGAGCGGCAATCCAGAATGGAACCGCGCCACCTGTAACTTATGGCTATGTGGTCAATTTGGGTCCATCGCTGGCCAGCTACAGGTGGACGCCAAGTGGCACTTCGGCGCCCACTGTATCTAAAAGCAGTGCTAGTAAGAAACAACTGGTGCTCCGCACACAGTTGCAGCAGACGCTCGCCGTTGTCAGTCCGTTCGGCGTTAAGTCCATACTTACCACCCAGCTGAGCTTCTGAAGAGCTCAGACGCCCTACTTGTGCGTTCATATCCCCTGCAAGTACTATAATATCTGAACTTGTAGCACTGCGTAGCAGCGTGTTCAGTTCGTGATAGAAAGTGTCCTTGACTGCATTAGAACTGCAATCGGTGGGAGCATAAGCAGAAATCACAAACAAACAGCGTTTTGTTTTACTTCGCGAATTCACCTTAGCTGATGCCGTCAAACGGGCTGCACATAAACGGCTGTTCACCGGAATCCAATCAACCAACGATGACTCAGCCTTGCAGCTGAGAATGATACCTACACCAGCTTGACCCGTGAGTGCCGCATCGGCGTCTCCGGATGCGTGCAACCAATAACGAGAGGATAAGCCGGGTGCAGTCAATTCGATAACCCCGTTAGGGTCATTAATCCTAGTTTCGGACACACAACACATATCAACACCCAGTGTGTCCAAGGTGCGTGCGAGTGCAGCCTGCTGACCTGTTTGTCTTAGAGTGCGGACGTTGAATGTCGCCATAACTAGGCATTTATATGGGAAAGAAAAGCATTAGGACAAAATTGAAAACCCACCACCTGAAATATATATATATATATATATATATATATATATATATATATATATATATATATATATATATATGATGCTCGGTATCATATTACGCATCACGTGTGGGAACGTAGTTGGTGGAGGATAAACGGGAAGGGGTGGAAAAAGAAACTCAAAGCGAATGCTTTTGGAGCCGGATCTTTGCCATCTCAACAAGTGTGTCCAAGAAGGCTCTACTAATATGCATAGTTAAGCAGTGGGAAGTAGAACGAATCACTGGTATAGCCGTAAAAAGCAAGAGCCGTAGGTGGAATCTGTGAAAAATTGAGGGAAACCCAGATTCCAAACTCACATTTTAGCATGAAGGCAGCGCGACTGTCTGAAAGAGTGCGGTCATCACCGGAGGGATCTAACTGGGCAGATATCCACAGAACCATAGGCAGATTACACGGGTTTTTCAGCAAGAGACCTGACAAGGAATAAATAACCCCTATAGCACTTCAGATGTACAAGGATCACGGAAAATCGGAAAGGAACAAAATGCAAAGCGCAAATCGTTGAATGCCTACGGCACATTACATGTCACGAAGGCGGAAAGAATGGATGGGGTGAGAAGAGCACAATGGCAAAGGGTATCTGTTGCATATGAATTGCATTTGACTGAAAACAGCTATCCTGGGAGGCTAAATGGGATAATTAGGACAAGGGAAAGCGAAGAACGGTGGGAGTGCCCTGCACTATTAGTACACCAGATTCGGCGTGTGTAACGCATGAAAACCAGATAAGCTAGTGAGACTGTAGATGAACAATTGGCCAAAAAATAATGGGCAGCGTTGCAGGAAACGTGCAAGCATACAGAGCTACACAGGATACTTACCAACAGAGGCCTCCCACAGATTATCTATAGGTTCACAGCAGATCGACTGGGAGTCAACAATGGGACCGTAACTAGCCAAGCCCGAACGGTCGAAATCAAAATTTCCAAAGCTCTGATTTGTCTGTAGCTCGTCTATCAACGCGGGCCAAGAAGAAGGCAGTTCGCGAGACACAGCTGGTGAGTATCTCCGCATAAGACAGAGGGCCTGCACATGATGCTCTAGTGAGAAGATTTCAAGCTGATCCCAAAAGAGAACCGAAAGCATGACTTTTTCACGGGGTTTCACACAGGCGAAGCTGGAAGCCTGCTGATAGATATGGTGAAGGGTTGATCCGCTCACATTCGCACCCTGTAAAATGGAGAGAAAAAATAAACATGAGCAATGGCACAGAAAAGCCGTCAGATGGTTATGGTACAAAGAGTAGACATACTAACATTCTATAAAAGGAAAACGAATCCGAATAATGTAGCTTGTTTATTGTTAGTGGAATCACGAAGCATGTTTAAGAAATAACCAAACACTCACCAGCAATAGCAATCGTTGAGCGTATACGCCTGTGTAGAAGAACAGCCAGGCATAGCTTATGTTTTTCAAGCAGGTTTCCGGTTCGGTTGCTACGCTTTGCAGAGAGTTAAACAGTTGTTCTAAATGACCGCGGAAATCAGGTATACAAGCTGTGGATGCCACCAGACGGACTAGCATCATTCGCCCGAAAATGGAAAGGATGGTGGCCACTGGAAAAAGTGAGGACGACCGGTCGACCATCTGATTGATGAAGAGGCAACGTAACTTACTTCTGTCAGGTCAAGCAAGGAACGAAACCAACTAGGAGATTCATAGTGATACTTCGAATTCACACACTCCATACAGTGACGGATGCAGTCATCAACAATTCCACGATTAATGTGGGCCCTCACGAACTGAACACATATTTGGTCGTTCCATGGGTCCTTTAACTACAACGGTAACAAATAAAAGGCGAAAGGTACTAGTTGTGTTTTCATTGCATCCAATGAGTCGTCAGCTTCTACTTCATAAGAAGAAATTCTGGAGCTCAGTCCTTTTGTCACCGGGTCAGCAGGAATATGTGACAGAGCGCAGTTAGCCCAAAACTAAGCCAATCATTTTGGAATGTCGCGACGAACCTTTAGATCTTCCATACTGGATAACTTATCAAGGGCCAGTTGGCATACTATATAAGTTATCAAACATTTATACACTAACCTCGAGGAAGCTCAGTAATAGGAACTGCGTCAGACAGAACGGCATCTCGGTATGCACGTAAGGCACCATCATAATCTCCTAACATTTCATTAACTCGACCCAGCAACACACAAGCAGGACCTCGGGAACTACCAGAAGGAAGCTTCTCTAGATACCTAAAATTCGAACTAGATAAGCAAGGTTACCGTTACCTCTTGGCTACGCGGTACTCTTGGATGTCCGCGTAAAGCTTAGCAATTTCCAAACTCAAGGATTTGCGCTAAAACACATCACCACAAAGCTACCAAAAGTACCTCATCGGAACTATTGCATCTAGAAAGTAAGTGCGACACATGCAAGTCAACCATATGCTTTTCTCCGGACATGTTCCTGAAGAACAGCTGAAATGGAAACTGGTTTAAACAAGTTCAAGTTCAAGTTCAGTTGGGACCGGAACGATAGGATAATCCCGTGAATGTTCCTTCTTTTGCGTATCGTTGGATCGGGAATTGACAGGTCTGCTTGAGATGTTGAAAAGCCTAAAACAAAGACCGCATCACACCCTGTCCAACCAATTACTGCCCACATTTTCCTGCCCAGCAGTCCCTGCCGGGCCGGTTTATGTGAAGTAAAAGAGTGAAGGGTAAGTTAAGAAAAGAAAAGGAGGAATGTCAGCTAAATAATGATAATACCAAGGTGAGAAGAAGATTAAAAAGAACGAAGGGAAAGTTGAAGATACAAGTCGGTTAGGAGAAGGGGAAGGTTTGGTACTGCCACCCTAGAGCATCTAATTGACGCTCGAAACCCTCTACCGTAGACTCCCTAACCACGTGCGCTGGAAGCGAGTTCCAACGTTCAATAACTCGACGCGACAAGCGAGTTTCCGTCCTTACCCGGTCAGAACGCTGTTTGTGCAGCTTCAACGGGTGACCTCGGAGACTAGGCAGCTTGGCGGGACTAAATAGCCAGGATAAATCTGGACCAATCTTACCCGTTAAGATACGGTAAGTGAGAATCAAGTCTCCTCTAATTCTGCGGTAGTGCATTGAGTACATACCCAAGCTAAGCAAACGTTCGGGATACGTTTGCCCCCGTAATCCTTGCACTAACCTTGTACCCACTCGCAAAACCCTCTCCAGTTCCATTTTGTCCCTTACAAGACAAGGTGGACAAGCCTGGATACAGTACTCTAAGTGAGGTCGCACGAAAGCTGAGAAAAGCTTTACAAAGATATTCGCCGTTAGGACACCGAAGGAGCGGCGAATAAACCACATCATACGGAACCCTCTACAAGCAGCCTTCCTCCAATTTTCCCCAGAGTGAAGCAAGGAGGTATGGGTGATACCTAGATCAACCTGCTGAATGACAACAGGGAGTTCACTTCCACCAACTACATAGCGCGTTGGAGGACTTGCACCTCCAATGCGGAGGACAGAACATTTCGCCTGATTTATGGGCATCAACCATAAGGTTGACCAATCCCAGAGCCTATCCAAAGCACTCTGAAGTGCCTCAGAGCCACCAGGGATATCCACAATATTCCAGAGCTTGAGGTCATCAGCAAACAATAGCGACGGTACTCCAAGCTCCTCGGGTAGGTCATTGACATAAATTGCGAAAAGCAACGGCCCTAGAACCGAGCCCTGCGGAACGCCACTAAGAACAGCTTGTCTAAGCGAAAGGCTACGCCCCACGCGTACACACTGTTCTCTGCCCTCTAGGAAAGCAGAAACCCATTTAAGGGCGGCTCCAGATATCCCATACGATCTCAACTTCAATGAGAGTCGCTGATGTGGGACAGTATCAAAGGCTTTCGAGAAGTCAACGAAAAGCACGTCGATGGCGTGGCCGTTGTCTACTGCCTCAGCCCAGCTTTCACGAGCTACAAGCAAATTTGTCAGACATGAAAATCCCTTACGGAATCCGTGCTGGGCCGCACTGAGAAGGTTAAACTTAAGCAGGTGATTCTCCACCGAATCCCTGACCAATTTTTCAAACAACTTAACTACTACGCTTGTTAAGCTGACAGGCCGATAGTTCGCGGGCAGAACTCTGTCCCCGCCCTTGAAAATCGGACAGATGATTGCCTTCTTCCATTCAGAAGGTAAGGCACAGCTGTCGAGTGATATTGTAAACATGCATGTCAGAGGGCCACTTAGCTCAGCGGCCAATTCATGCATCAGCTTCGGATGAATTGAATCAGGGCCAGAAGCTTTGGAAGGATTTAGCCCTTGCAATAGCCCGAAGACTTGTGTCTCCGTTATGCTTATTTCAGTTAGGCAAGAATCCTCCGGAACTTTAGTGACCAGCTCAACTTGAGGTAGAGGCCTCATGAGAAAAGACACCAGTATACTGTTCGCTAAGTATACAGGCATTATCGTAGTCGGTATGCCCATGGGTCCCGTCCGCTCGTAGTAAAGCCGGTATAGACGAGTTTGTACCGCTACGTCTCTTTACGTAAGCAAAGAACTTCTTTGGGTATTTTACGGCTGCGTTAGCCAAATCCTCCTCGTACTGAAGACGAAGAGTTCTAAGATGATGCTTACATTCATTTCTAACCGCTCGATAGCTTTTGTTGGTGCTGGTTGATGAAGGCCCTTGGTAAGTTTGCCAGCACTTAGATCGCTTCCTGAGCAGGTATTTACCTGTATGATCTATCCATGGAGGCTGCGCCCGTGTCACCCTTCTCTTAGTGAATGGGATGTGGGGAGCAGAGATCTCAGTGAGGTACGCTTTAAATTTCTCCCAGGCTGTCTCAACGGTGTCAGCCACGGTGATCGCACAACGCAAAACTGAAGCTTTGGCTCGTATTGCGTTAAAGTCTGCTCGCCAAATATTTGGACATGCCTCAGCGGTAGCTTGATGACACTTAGTTAGAGCACATCGAAAGGATATGCAGACATGGTCACTGGCTCCTAGAGGACAGTCGTAGGCAATATCACTTACGAAATCGTGTGACTTCGCAAAAATAAGATCCAAGGTAGACGGAATTTGGTTGCGCATATATCTAGTCGGGAGGTCCACGAACTGATGCAAAGGCAGTTGCAATGTTAGCTCAAGGAGATCCGAACCGAAAGTGCCCACCGCCGAACTGCAAGATAAATCAGCCCAGCAGACTTCAGGGAGGTTGAAGTCACCCAGTATTAGACACCTAATGGCAGCCTGAGTACGAATAAATTCAATAACCTCCCTGGAGATACTACCAGGACTTCGATATACCACTACAACTGTAAACTGAGCGGAGGAAGTGCACACAATAGCCGAGAGAGCTTCAACAGTTTGATCCGGCGACTGGAACACCCAAGTCCTCAACACATCGAGTTTACAACTCACATAAAGAGCGACGCCTCCACCGTGGCGGCCAATGGAGCGATCGCATCTAAGCAGTGCGTAGCCAGGCAAACATACTTCACCGTCTGTGATATCCGGGGACAGCCACGTTTCGGTGATAGCAAGTATGTCGGGACGAGATTTGTCTACAAGTAGACCCACCTCGTGTACCTTGTTCCTTAGGCTACGCACATTACTAAGCACTACCCGAAGGAACTCGGCACGACCAGCCCTGGGTCGTACGCTACCAGAAGAGGTTCTGGTAGGGCAGAATTTGACTTCCGGCTGACCACCTGGAAACCCACAAGACGAAGGCCTTGCTCACCAGCCGCCCGCCTACTTTTGAGGCTTTTGATGGCTTCCTTTAACTTCAGTCGATCTGCCAGTGGGAGGTCCGGCTGAACGCTGACATTACTACCCTTGAGTTTGAATGCAAAGCGCATTAACGCTTTGCGTTCCTCCGGGGTTGAGAGGACTACACAAGAAATCGCAAGGTCGTTTGCTGTTTCTTACAGCAATCAAAATACGTACAAACTGCTTGGCTAGGACTGCAAACATGTGCCGAATACCAGTAACGGTATTTAAAATCACAATAAATAATTTTCATAAACTTTCAAGCTGGCTTCTAGGCGTAGCCATAACATTTGAGCGTGGGAATCTCTCAAGGCTTCTTAACAACTACATCGTAAGAAAGCGTCGTTAGAACAAACAGGTGCAACCTTATGACATTTAGGCCCATTTCTATCAAATCCAAACTCGCTGTAGGTCCAACAAGTTAAGCTTGGAAGCTTTTCTGTTCATCTTAAGCCTCTGCCGCTTTTCCCATCCGCCTCTTCTTTTCTCTACCTGTCCCTTTTATTACAGGTGCATTGCTCTTTCTCCTACTGTCTTCCGGTTGTAAGGTTTGCCGTTTTGAACAACTGCGTGATGTAGCTAGTGCCTTTTGCATAAACACAACTTTTCCGTTGGCCTTACGCTATGTAACATATTCAACTGATTATGCCAAAAACATCGTTTTGGTCCCATCCAAAACAGTGAATTAGACTTTCTTCGGTTGTTTATTTGCAACAGTTCTAACCTTTACACCCAGCGTACAAAGCGCCTCGCCTCCTCCAAACTTTAACTCACGGCCCCGCCATTTTGTCAGACAGATTTTAGGTGTAATTGCCTCGCTTAGCACCAAATGAATTTCTATCTGAAATCGTTGCTTGTTGTGTATGTGGTCGAGCAGCTTAATGTGTAGCTACTGATGGTTTGTTTGTTGGTGGAGTCACATGGTCGAGAAATCAACTGGAGCAGCATATTTCCAGTTACACTAAAGGCAGCAGAGTTTGCCGTTTTGGAGAGCAGGTTTTAACTCCTCAAATATAGAGTCAAATTGCTGGCCCATGTGCCAAACAAGTTTAGCCGGTAACTGCAGAGTTAGCCCGCAAGCCCACATTCATAAAGCGGCAGTGTACAATCGAGCAGTGCAGTGGCATGAGTAGTTAGTGCCAACGCCAAATACTTAACTCCCCACATGGCTGGACGTGGTTCATTTACTTTTATTAACTTGCTAAGAACTGGGAGGCATATCAGTGCGGGCGGATTTGTTCTAAGATGAATACAGTGTGTCGGGACGCTACTTAACCTGAACACAGTGCATCACAGGATAACCTGCGGTCTTCCCAAGATAGCACACCTTGTAAATTTTTGGTTCGTATACTGTTCTTTTATCAAACTTTTCCCACATGAATTTCTGGCATTATTGTCAAGGGGCTCAGCTTCTCTCTGACCGTTTTGGCTGCAAGCCCGATCAGCCCACCATCCTACATTTAGCAATGCTCTCAACGCCAGTAGAGTGCAGCGCTTTGTGGCTAGTTGCCTGCAACTCAAATGGCATAACCTTTATGTGCCACCTTACCGTTAGCAAGTGATTGGGTAAAAGCAAATATAATAATGAGAACAAGGCAAGTTGCGCAACTCACTATCATGATGTCCCTTTTGTGCGATTCCTTGCGTCAAGCCGCCGGCAAAATTAGCCATGCCGGAGCGAACTGTAGATACGCACCACCCCCGGATAGTTAGGACGCG